GAGAGGGGGGAAGGCTGGGGTGAGTCTGGAGCTAAAGTCCTGCATCAATTATTCCTATACACTGACAGGACTCCTGATTGAAGACAGTAGTTGTGAAGGGAGAAGGCTGCAAACAGCCCAGCCCCCAAATTGAGGCAATTACTACCTTATGGGGCCTGGCTCCCTGCTCAGGTCAGTGGGAGGGAGAGTTTGGAATTCTAAACTGTCCCAGCTACAACAGACATCAGCTAGCATCTCTCACCTCAGGGTCACAGCAGTCTTAGGGTGAGAGATTGCAGGGCATCAGACCAGTCAACTGGCAGAAGAAAGCTCCGTTCCATCTCCCAGACTTTTCTCAGGAGAACTCTGGCAAAGTCCTCCTGGAGTTATATTATAGCAAAAATGAACGAATGAATGAAGAAAGAAAGAGAGAGAGAGAGAGAGAAAGGGAGAGAGAAAGAAAAAGGGAGACAGGGAGGGAGGGAAGGAGGGAGGGAAGGAAGGAAAAGGAAAACTGCTAGAAAATGTGGACAGGCAGCTGTGCTTAGGCTTCATGAGGTTTGGGGGGGGGGAAGGAGCAAGATATTTCAAACAGATAAGCAAAAAACAAAACAAAACAAAGACACAGACTGAAATGAATGAAGAACCAAGCCTCATCCAGACTGTAATCAGGCCTGTAATCCTTGCTACTTGCCCTTAATCAGATACTCAGGGAGCTGAGAGCTAACAACCAACCACAGCTGGAAGCTTGTCTGGGAAGAAAAATCCATAAGGCTCAAAAACAGCTAGCAAAAAGCAGGACTGGGCCAAGTGCCAATGGCTCACATCTGTAATCCTAGCTACTCAGGAGGCTGAGATCTGAGGATCACAGTTCAAAGCCAGGCTGGGCAGGAATGCCTGTGAAACTCTCATCTCCAATAAACAACCAGAAAGCCGGAAGTGGCACTGTGGCTCAAGTGGTAGAGCACTTTCCTTGAGCTGAAGAGCTGAGGGACAACACCCAGGCCCAGAGTTCAAGACCCACACCAACAAAATAAAAGCAGGATTAGACACGTGACTCAAGTGGTAGAGCACCAGTTGTAAGCAAGAAAGCCAAGTAAGAGCATGAAGCCCAGAGTTCAAGTCCCAGCATTAAAACAAAACAAAAAACCTAAGTCTTCATTTTAGCACATTGTAATTATTTGTTTATCAGGTTTCCCATAGTCCCAAGGCAAGAGCAGTTATGATCCATTTATGCAACATGGCTAATGAGCAGTTAAGTGTCAACTGAGCGATAGCAAGAATATGGTTAATTGTCAGGCTCTGTGCTAAATAGTTTAAACATAACTATTATCTCTTTTTGTTTTTCACAGCCTTCAGAGGTAGAGATTTATTACGATTCCCCTCCCCTGAACCACATAATCATTTCCAGATAAGGACCCTCGAAGTCCGGTGAGATTCGGTGTTTTATGCTGGGTCACCAAGAAGCGCCCAATGCCAAGATTCAAACCCAGGTCTGCCTGCATTTCATTACTAAGCTGTGTCAGTAATGATTGGTGTTTAACAAATGTGTGCTTGCTGAATGAATGAACAACTGCACGGGTGCAGAGCCCAGCTTCGGGAATGCTCATGAGCATACTGGGAGAGAAAGCCTGATCCTGCCAGCTCTACGCTGGATGGAGAACAGCAAGCATAGGCCATCACCAAAGCTATTTATAGGGTAAAACTCAGGCTCTGCCAGCCAACCAGTCTTCCTTGGGACATTGAATCCCACCAGACTGAGAATGGGGAAAAGGCTTCTGCTGTTGAAGATGAGAGGGCAAACAGGACACAGTCTGAGACTCAGATGCACCATGCCCAGGAGACTGTGACCAAATGTGGCTATAATGAGTCACAGAATGTAAAGGGTTAGTGGCTTAGACCAGGCTAACAGACCTAGCTGACAGAGAACATACAACTCTAAACAGGAGATATGTCCAATAATAAAGGACACTCTACTTCTTAAGTAGTCCCTGAATTTTCAGTTCTCATTCAAGAATTCCCCAGTATTCAGTTTTCCCCCCATCTCCCTTCTTCGCGATCAAAACTAAAGTTGAAGCAGTTGAAAAAGGGAGGAAAGTGCTATAAAACACTCTGTCTTATGTTACCCCCATGTTCTTTACTGGACCATATAATGAGCATGTCCAATGTGCTCTTGGTCAGAGATAGCCAGACTTGATTCCCTTGCACCTGTCATTCTTAATACCGTGTGCCAATCCCAAAGATGTTATCTGATATCCAACAGGGGACAGAAGAGGAAATCCAAAATCAGTGGCAAGCCAAGCATCCTTCACAAGTGCAAGAGATCAGGGACAAGGTCATACAAATACCAGGACAACCATCAAAACAGCCAGAGGGAAAGGAGACCAGTTTCAGCTCAACCCTTCTGCACTCATCCTCACAGACATTTTTTTCTTGCTTTTTTTTTTTAATCTTTGTCAAGGTTCCTGAGTAAAAATTCCAACCCCCCCCCCCACTTACCTGGAAGAAACCTCCAGGACAACAGTTTCCATTCTTCAAATATCCATAAACCTCAGGATGAAAGTAATCATGGCTATTAAGTTTCCTTCCCAAATCTTTTAAGGGTGGAGTGTTATATAGGCTGGAATGAAACTTAGAAGCTATAGAAAAAGCCCTAAGGACTAGCAAAACCCAAATAAACACCTTAAACTTTAGTGTCTTGAATTCACTCCTAGACGAAGTCAAGTCTGTCTAAGTAATTCATAACTACAAGTACAGAACTATGGTCTCTCGGCACCCCTGGAACTTAGTGTCAGGGATCCTCATGGTAGTATTTTTGGTGTAGATTCCATGTTCTGCAACTGCTCAGTCACACCGTGAATCTGTCCTTTCCATGTCTCCAAGGATGGCTCAGCAATCAAGCCAAGCAAAGTGCAAATCTCCCTGCCTCTGCTTACCCTGTGTGCACAGAAAATTTCCAAATGTATTAATTTCTTATATTTAATTTTTTCCATGCATAAAAGAACTTGGAGGAGTCACCAAGTACCCCCTTCCATCTTTTTTTTGTGAAGCATTAAAAATCCACAATTCTCTATGGCCATTCTCCTGGCCTCCCCCCTTCTCCATCCTGAGTCTATATGGATGTAACGTATTCAGTTTTGACAGCTCTGGAGCAGTAAAAATTCTCTTGGCTAAGGCTCAGCCCGGAACCTTCCAGCTCCCCCTTCCCCAGGACAGAAGGCGACAATCTCCACTCAGGCTTTGTTGGTATCCGTTTTAGCATTTTTCCCCCTTTCCTTTCCCCAGTGCTTTGCCATTTCCCTTGATCTTTTTCAAAACTTCCTCCAGGGGGCCAAGAGGAAAGTTCCATCCCCTTCCCTTACAGCCTGAAAGAAAGGGGAGGGGGAGGAGATCACCCCCCCCAAAAAAAAGCATAGCTGTCCCTTTAAGGGGCCCATGTGGTGGGAAGAACAGCTACATTCCTACCCCAGTAGGGCCGCTGTCCCAACACGCCGAAGAGGCCACAAATAACCTAGGAGAGTCGGGGAGGGGGGTGGGAGGGGGGAGCAGGGAACGGAGAGGCTACTACTTGGAAAAAGCCATGGGGAGAGGGAGAGGAGGACCTACGGATAAAGAACAGACAAGAGAACACGGTTTTGGATTCGGGAGCTAAAACAAATCTTACTTAGGGAGGGGAAAAAGTACCCAGACGGCACCACCACATCTTGCCAGGCAAGTTCCGAAATCTGCAGTTTTCACACGAGCTCCTCTAGGCTAAAGAAAGACCCCCCCCTCCATTCTAACCCCCCCCACCCCATCCGCGCTGTGAGATGGAGAGATTTCCTCCCACCACACACACACGCGCGCGCACACACACACACGTGGAAAAGCGGTGGGTGCGAATGAGTGGGGTTCAAAGACCAACTTGATCTTAGGGGGGGCACGCAGATTTAAGGGAGGCAGCTGCTAATGTCAACTGGGGTGCAACCTACGATCGCGACTGCAGAGAAAAGCGGACCCTGTGGGGCTTTCAGCACACACAACAGTTGTGTCTGGGCACCGAACACGTTATTAATAAGGAGCAGATGAAGCATCAACCCTGCTGCCATCCGCCCGGCTCCTGCCCGCGGGCCTCCGGGCTCAGAGCCCCACCGCGCCCCCCCCTCCCCGGCTGCCTTTGGAAGTTCAGCAATACCCGTCCTCCCTCCCCCTCCCGCCTCCCGCTCCGGCCCCCTACACTGGCCAGGACTGATCTGCACGAGCCTTCCTAAAGTTTCTTTCCCAAGTTCCTCCAAAACCCCTTTTCCAGACTGGTCCAGCCAACCCCCCCCCACACACACACACCCGCCCTCCAACACACACCTCACCCCTCCCCTGGGGAGGATCCGGGGGCAGGAAGCTGATTGGCCACAGCCAGGAGAGGGAACCCAAAACACCACTAAGGACAAGACGCCGCGGAGTCACCGGTGCCCCAAGACCCTCGGTGAGGGCCAGGTGGAGTCCGAGGAATTGTTCCCCGAGTAGAGACTCCCCGGGGCAATGCGGGGAGGGGGGGCTGCCTGCGATCCACCCGAGACCCACCCCACCCCCCACCCAGTCCCGAGAATATCTGCCTTCACGATCATCCTCGCCGCCTCCCTTTCTTTACACACATTCGTCTGCACCAAGGACTCAGGCTCGCTCTTAACCTGAAAGGGAAGAAGCCCCCTAGCTCTTTAAAGAGCAGCAAGGGGGGGAGGGGGCGAGTTCGCGCCCTGGGATCTTACCGGACCCGGACCCGATCGAAGCCCGGGTGGATTCCTCCCGTACCGTCCTCTCTTGCACTGGAGGGGTTGGGGCGGGGGGCTGCCAGTCCCTCCTCCCCCCCAACCCCCCCACCACTCCCCGGCACACTCTTTCAGGGCTCCGACTTGCAGAGAGCGCGAGGAGGGTCTCAGGCCCCAGCCTGCGTCCTCCGGTTCCCAGGGAAGCGGATCCCGCAGCGATCGAACCCAGGGACAAACTTTTCCCGGTGGGCCGGTGGGCGCGGCGACGCCGCTTACCGTGTGCGCAGAGCAGGGCGCCCAGCAGCAGCAGCAGCAGCAGCGCGCCCCACGGCGCTCATGGTGCTCACCGCCGCAGGCGCTCCTGCGGATGGAGGTCCCGCCGGCTCCCGCGGGACGGCGTGTGTCGGGAGTCAGCCGAGGGTCCCCGGTGGGGAAGCGGTCCCGGGTCCACGCGCCCGGTGCGCCCCGCGAGTCGCCCTCCGGACGCCGCTGCCTCCAGTGCTGCCAGAGCTCAAGCTGCCCCGCCAGGGGACCGGGAGAGAGGGGTGTCCCGGGCCCGGCCGCCCCGCCCCCCGCGCCGCAGCCCCCGCCACCGCCACCGCGCCGCAGCCCCGCCCCCAGCGCTGGCCCGGCCCCTTCCCGCCCTCCGCCCCCGCCCCCCCATCCTGGGGACCCCACCCCCCCCCGCGCCTCTTGAGAGAGCCCAACTCCTTCCTACGCCGCCCCCACATTCCTAGCCTTGGAGAGAGACCCCCCCCTCGGTCCCCATTACTACTACTCCAGTGTCCCTCACTTTCAGAGTAAATAGTCCTAGCGACAACTCTCTAGGCTGGCTCATACGAACAGCAATCCAAGGGGAGCATCGGGGCTGACCCGAATCGCCTGGACGTGACCCCGGCCCCCGACGGGCCCCAAGTCCAGACTTTATTGATGTCCTAGAATATGCAAGGCTTGCTAATGCATAATCCTCCGGGTCTTTATTGACATCAAACAAGGGACATCAGGGGGCCTGCCTTGCTGTATCTTAACTAGGGTTCTCACTGTCAAAATTCCTTCTCAGAGATTTTTTTTTCTTCTTCTTGAAACCCCCTCCCGCTTCCCTTGTCTAGGGAGTGTTGTTCTAGGGCTAAATAATTCCGTGACCTCCCCTTTTCATTTACTCATTTCCTGAGGTGGTTGTCTGGGTCCTGTCGCCCAAGCTCAGACGTCCAAATTTGGCCCAGACAAACTTAGTTCCTCCTCAGCCTGTCTTTGTAAATCAGCTTTGTTAGCCTCTTCACCTTCCTTGACTTTCTGATCCGGGCAAGGAAGGGAGGGAGGTAAGGAAATTAGCCAATATTTGAAGTTGCACTCCCCCAAGACCTGGCTCAGCCTCCTTCCAGTTTCCGTCCGCAGGGCCCTCTAGCAATATTTAAAATTGGGGACACTACATAAAATTGCAAACACCACGCTGGTCTTAAGCTTTGTGGCAGCCTACCCTCCTCAACTCGGAATAGTGATACTTTAACCACCTTCCCACTTTTCTAGGTTGGATCTTGGTTTGTTACTTTTTCTCAAGTCGCCAATTTTCTTAGGGTCTGGGATATTACTTTCTCCTCCACGTTGATATGCCAAGATTTTCTGGCTTTGGGTCATCTATGGATTCTGTTCAATCTCTTTCCTTTCACTAGTTATAGAGCCAGGAAGACCCATGTGCCCCAAGTTAGCTGAGGGGAAGGCAATTTGGTATAATGCAAAGTGGCTATTAGACTGTTTCACTAAATGGTTAGGTTGACATTTCATCCTTGCTTGTTTTTAAGGCTTTCACTTCAAATTACTATCTTTGACCAAAGTTAACATGAACCTACTTTGAGACAGCCTATAACAACTGAAAAATGTGATGTGAACTCTTTCTTAGTACTTCTCCATGCTGTTTTGCCTGAAATTTTCACCCAGATGCAATGTGGTTGAAAAAGCATCACCATGGTAACTAATACAGAGGCATTTTCTGGGTTGAAGTTCTTCTTGCTGACTGAAGGGGGCAGTAGAGCCAGATCAGGTTTATGTGATCTTAAGTGCATAGGAAACCCAGTCCACATATGTCTGGCCTACATTAGTCTCTTAACCCTAAAATCTAAGGAGAAAAACATGAAAAGTAGGGGCTGATTCTGCAGTTCCCTTCTCCTTTCCAATGCAGTTGGTGTCAGGGTTGGGTATCTGTTGCTTATAAAGACTTGCTTTTAATCCTGTTAAGAAAGTCCTTGTGATTCTGAAGATCATATTCTGTTCTAAATGAAAACTAGGGACATGTAGTATGAAGAGTACAGCCAGGTGCTGGTGTCTCACATTTGTAATTCTAGCTTCTCAGGAGGTTGAGATCTGAGGATTGTGGTGCAAAGCCAGCCAGGGCAGGCAGTCTATGAGACTTAGCTCCAATATATCACCAGAAAACCAGAAGTGGCACTGTGGCTCAAAGTGGTAGAGCACTAGCCTAGCAAAAAGAGCTCAGGGACAGTGTCCAGGCCTTGACTTCAAGCCCCACAACCAGCAACAACAACAAAAAGCATAATTATTTTTTAAAAATTCCAGGACAGGCTTTCTTCATACTTTCACTGTCAAGGGATTAAAAATTATAAAGTTTCCACTCTGTATGCAAAGGACAGGTTCTTTTCCAGAGACATGATTTGTGATGTTTTTCTGGGATTGGAGAAAAAGGGGGAAGCTGTCTGTGTCTGGCTCAGCCAGAGAGACCACATTTTCTATGTGCATCCTGAGTCCTTCTCCATGCTTCAGCACAGTTCTGGTGCGCAGCGCCATCCCTGGCTGAGTCACTGGGAATATCAATGGGTAGAAACTAACTTTCATGCATAGTCCCTGCCTGGGTCACCCCCTAGGGTGAGTTAAATCTTGGCTGTTAGAAACTGTTCTTATGCCAGGAAGACTAAGCCATATTTATTTTTACCAGGCCTCTCAGACTTTCTTGTTTGGAGTGAGAGATCCTGAAAAGCATGCCAGAATGGGTTGTTTGTCTCCCTTTTATTGTCCTCTGGGACATGTCTCTAGAAAAGTTGAGGGGACTGCCAATTCCCGAGGGGTCTCAGAGACATTGGTTTCCTCAGAAACACCACCCCTTCCCTTCATCCTTCTAGGACGGTCCACGGAGCTGAATTTCTGGGATCAGAAGATTGCTCTGAATCAGACCATCACTAATAGCCTTTTCAAAGCAAACTCAGAGAGTGCTACAGAAACAAGATAGAAAGGGCCTTGGTTTTGATGAGATTGAGTTGGTAGAATTCTCTTGTAACAAAGGTATCACCCAACAACCTAAATTTCTAAGTGTGATTCTTCTGAAAGGACAACTACTTTGAAACAGTGGGCTTCAGTCAGCAGTAACTTTGCAAGCATGGAGTAGTCACCTGGAGACATTTTTGAGAGTGATTCTGTTGGCATCTAGTGGGTAGAGGCGAAGGATTCTGCTAAATATCCTGTAGCAAGAATCCTAACCCCACACAACAAAGAACCTATCTGTCACATTAATCATGCTGAAATTGAGAAACTATTTTAACATATTAAAAACAGACTGCAAAGAGTCATCTCTGTTGACTCTGTGTGTGTTTGTGTGCGCGCACACGCTGATACTGGTACTGGTGCTTTGATTCAGGGCCTGGGTACTGTCTCTTCATTTTTATACTCAAGACTGATGATCTACCACTTGAGTCACAACTCTAACTTTTTGGTGATTAATTGAACATAAGAGTCTCACAGATGAAGCCAGACCCTGGTGGCTCATGCTACTCAGGAGGCTGAGCTCTAAGTACCTTGGTTGAAGCCAGCCTGATTAGTGAAGTCTGTGAGACTCTTATCTCAATCTCAAAAACACTACCTAGAAAAAGCTGGAAGTAGCACAATGGTTCATCTGGTGGAGTGCTAGCATTGAGTAAAAGAAGCTTAGGGACAGCCCTGACACACATACACACAGAAAAAAGAGTCGTCTAGACTTTTCTGCTCTGGCTAGCTTTGAACTGTGATCCTGGCTAGATTTGAACTTCAATCAAATAACTAGGATTACAGGAGTGAACTACTGGTGCCTAGCTTCAACTTACTTTCTCGTTGAAAGTAATGCAAAAGTAAGAGAGGAGTTCTTTTTTTTTTGGGTCCGGTCATGGGGCCTGAACTCTGGGCCTGGGTGCTGTCCCTCAGCTCTTCAGCTCAAGGCTAGTGCTCTACCACTTGAGCCACAGCGCCACTTCCGGCTTTTTTCTTTTTGCTTATGTAATGCTGAGGAATCGAACCCAGGGCCTCATGCATGCAAGGCAAGCGCTCTACCACTGAGCCACCTTCCCAGCCCCAAGAGAGGAGTTCTTAAAATTTGACAAGGATAAACAAGAAAGACAAAGCTAAAGGTTCTAAGGGAGTCTTATATCGATCTGTAGTATTTATCCATGCAGTAGCTATTCACTAAGAGCATTCTGTCCCAAGCACTGTGGAGGCAGTGTGAACAGATACATTGAAACCCTGGCACTTGCAATGTGATGTTTGCAGGAAACTGTAAGTGCACATAGACATTATAAGAATAATCCTACAGGGAATGTGGTTTAGTGGTAGAGTGCTTGCCTAGCATGCACAAAGCCTTGGATTTGATTCCTCAGTACTACATAAACAGAAAAAGCTGGAAGTGGTGTTGGTGGTTCAAGTGGTAGAATGCTAGCCTTGAGCAAAAGCAGCTCAGGGACAGTGCCTAGGCCAAGTTCAAGCTCCGGGACTGGTTAAAAAAAAAATCCTACAAATGAATTTAGTTGCAAATAATAGAGGCATTGAAGAAAAAGTAGAGGGATCTAGGGAAGAAGAGGCTTAATTTAGATTTGGGGTATAAAGAAGGTCTGTCAGAAGCACTGACACTTCAGCTGAGTAAGAGCCATTGCGTAGGCTGGAGATATAGTTCAGTGGCTGAGCACTGGCCTAACACCTATGAGGTCATGGGTAGGATCTCTATGACAAAAGAAAAGAAAAAGCCAGGTGCCAGTGGCTCAAGCTGATAGTCCTAGCTATTTAGGACGCTGAGATCTGAGGATCATGGTTCAAAGCCAGCCTGGGCAGGAAAAACTGAGAAACTCTTACCTCTAATAAACCACCAGAAAACCAGAAGTGGTGCTGTGGCTCAAGTGGTAGAGTGCTAGGAGGGATAGTGCCCAGGCCCTGAGTTCAAGCCCCATGACAGACCAAAAGAAAAAAGAAAAAAGTAAAGAAAAGAAAACATCATTAGGCTAAGAGTAGATGGGCAGAAGGAATAGCATGAACAAAGGCCCTAAACCAAAAAAGAATCCATAGGACTTATGGAAAAGTATCATTGACTT